GCTCACCAATTAGCATTGGGCCAACATTTCTGGAATGCCTTTTGTCTCAGGCAAATAACATTCAAATCACTCTTTTGGCAGCACATAAGAAGACAAAAGATTGTCTCCCCCTTCCCCCATCACCAAACCAGACAGAGTAAAAATTTATACAAAACTTTTGCTTGAAACAGCCCTCAGGAGGAAAATTGGCATAACATTTACAGAAATGGCTTGCCAAAACCTCCCTCCTAGGGCTGAACAAAAATAAACTAACCCCAAAACACTCAGCCAACCCTCATGGCTAAAGCAGGATTTGAACTCAAATCCAGCCTTGCAGCCTGTGGCTATAACCCTGAAACCAAATTGGCTTTCTATAAAGATTTCCCTTCCCCTCCTTGGCTCCAAGGAAAAGGAAAACTAATTGAACATACAGTGTGCAGCAATTAGTCATCTCTTTTTTTGCAGTAGCAAGGAGTCCCAAAGACACTTTTATCAGATGTTGAATAAAACATCATAAGATTGTTCCTTTGACAAGAATACCCTCAAATACATTATTAAGGATAAATCCAAACTAAAATGCAAAGGAAAACCACTGAAGCATGCCACACATACAAAAACAAAATATCAGAGCTGGATGGGACATTAGAGGTCCTCTAGTCCAACTCCTTACTGAAACAGGAAACTCTATCCATTTTAGACCCTATCAATTTCTAAGCTCCTCCCAAAAACCTCCAATAATGAAGCATCCACAGTTTCTAGAGACAATTATCCCACTGATTAATTATTCTTACAGTCAGGAAATTTTACCCAATTTCTATTATTTAAAAACAAACAAAAACAAACAAACAAACAAACATGCAGACAAAACGGCCTCCTCCTCCTTTTTCTTCTTCTTTCTGCATCTCTTACTTCTCCAAGGCAGAAATTCTTGGGTTAAAAAAAGTAACAAATTAAACATGTTTAAAAGGATTGCTCAAAAATTTCACCCCCCTTCAATAGCCCTTCCACCATGGGCTTTAAACCCATTCTTCCTTCCAATGTAATGTTATACTGTATCTGGTGAATTATTTCACCAGGGTTCTTTAAAGTCACCTTTAAAGGATCCATATGCACCCCTCTTCTATTGCCCTCTTGGGCCCATATAAGAGGATCCACTTTTCCTTGAGCTTCCTCACTCAAGGTCATAATATTTACAATTATTTCTCTTTCATTCCCCATAATAACAACCCCCAATTTACCAATTAAGTACCCCCTGGCCAAATTGCAGCTTCCTTTAACCAATACAAAGTTCAGGTCCTTTTACTACTGTCTGGACCATAGCAAGTTTAAACATTGTTGCTTCTACTACATGTCCATAATTGCCTGATCCTTAATCTTCCCTTTCCCAATTTGCATTTCTGGAGGTATATAGTTCAGGGTAAATCTGGTGGCTCCAGAATCCACCGAGTACACCCTTTCCTCCTCCAGGGATCCAACCTTTAAGGTTTATCAGGGATTCCTAAAAAGCTGGACCAAAAAACAGATTAGTCCCCTGACACCCCTAATCCTCAAAATTCACCAAATTTGCTAGTTCTTCCCCCTCCTTCCTCTTAGGGCATTCATTTTCCCAGTGTCCTTCCTCCTTACAAAAGGCACATTTGTTTGTTTGTTTGTTTGTTTGTTTGTTTATGGATGGATGGATGGATGGATGGACTGGGGAAAATTTTTCTCCTAGGGATTTATATCCCCTGGTGCCAACTGGCTGTCCTCCCCCCCAGCTTGCCTTATTGATTTCCTGATTACCCTTCCCCATCTTCTTTGCTGGCTTGTTTGCAACAATTGAGCCATCATTTTTATCTTATCTTATCTTACGTTTATCTCTCTCCTCTTCTCTCTTCCCATATACTTTCTGAGCCTCTTTTACCAGTAATAAATCTTCTGTTGTTTTAGTTTTCCATGTGTCTAATTTCTGCATTTTTATTCTAATACTTTCTCATGCTTTTCATTGGTCCTAAAAACATTTCTAACCTGTTTTCCTACTTCAATAGGATCTTCTATTAGTTTGGGCAATTCTTTCCTAAATTGTCTGATTTCAAAAGCTGTTAGGGGACAATTCCCCCCCTTGGAGAGGGGTTTTCCCCTCTCTTGTCACCTTCCAAACTATAGGAACCTCAAGAAATACATAGCTTCCTACTTAACTCTTTCACACAAAATAGCAGATCAGAGTTCTCGCCTTTCATCCTGGCCAGGCATAAAACTTCACACAGCTCCTTTCTTTCTCTCTCTCTTTCCTTCTCTTCCATCTGATTATTTCCATTCTTTTAACACCTTCTATTGTCCTTCTAATTACTAAGAAACTAGCCTTCTTCACCCTTTCTTGCATTTACACCAGACACGAAAAATTCCAAATGCTTCACCCCAGGCAAAACAATCATTCTTATTTTCAAGGAACTTTTTCAAAGCCAATGAGCTCCATTTCCCAAATTTCCTTTTGGAATAAGACCTTGTTGTTTTTGTATATTACTGTTAGAGGGTCTCTCCCTTCCCTCCCCCAGGTCTTTAGAAATGAGTCAATACAAACACACAAACATACAGACCATTAAACATCATTTCCACTTTAAATTTCCACTTTTACTCTTTTGGGGCAACTTGCAGCTTGTTCTCCAGGCAGTGGGGAAATGCAAGGAGCGTTTCTGATAGACCTTAACCACTGCCTATCCATTCCCCACCGCTCTAAGCCAAGCTGAGAAGCCCAATTTAATTTATTGGCTGGCCAAACATGTACTTAGGCCAGGTATAACAAATGCCTTGTTTAAAGCATTGACTTAAAATACTTCAACATTCTCCCTAAGGGATTCCCATCTCCCTAAGGGGATTCATTCCAGAATGTAAATACTTTCCTCTTTTTCGTTATTGGCCGGCACACTGGCCGGGAGGCGTCCCTCCTCTTCAAGCTCTTACTGCCCATTAATACCCCTCTGATATATAGATACCCCTCTGGTATCTTACCTGTCAGGCTGAGTTGAAGTCCTTCCTTATGTCGGCTGACTTTCCCTTAGGTTTTCACTGGGCCCTGGCTTTTTGTCTCGGGATTTCCAATTCCTCCTTGTTTGAGCAGGGGCAATCCGACCTTTAGGGCTGGGAAAAACTTACCCAGGTGCGCACTCCCCTTTTGAATATCCCCAGCTGCCAAAGATGAAACGGATGCAAATCCCGGACGAGCCCCCAAGGCTGTTATGTGCTCCTGGCTACTTTCCTTCGTGACCAGAGGCAAGCTCACCTGACCAATAACCAGCCAAGACACAGTGAAGGCCTTTTGTTTCGTTTATTGCAATAAGCGGGGAGAGAAGCTATCAAAGCTTGGTTCTCTCCAAAGTTTTAACCCAAAATATCTCCTTCTGTTATTCATCCCTATCACTGGCCGCTACAGCCCTCCTCTTTCCCCATTGGCTGAGGTAGTATGAGGTTACACTCTTTCCGACCGCCTATACACATTTCCTGATAACATATTAAATCATATTCACATATACAATAAGAATAAGAAAAATTATACATTTAAATGGTTATTTTAAACTCAGTAGATAGTTGTGTCCCCATTTTAAACAATAAGTTCTTTTCTGCTTTTCAATTCATTGTGCCGTTTCTCTTATCTTATTCGGCTTAGTTTCCTATTCTCCTATTATCTGTCTTTCCTGGCTAGCTATTTCCTATATATTTTTATGGCTTCTCTTCTTCCTTTCTCAGACCCAGCAATTTTTGCCTACATATTTCCTTTACATCCTTTCTTTATGTTTTCTTTTCCTGACTCTCACCAATTGTAGGTTTAACTGACTCTGAAGATTTATCATATTGATGCATATTTATCATGTTTATGTTTGTTATGTTTATTATATTTATATCCCACCCTTCTCCTTGCGGACTCATTGCGGACTCATCTTTGTCATTAAGTATACTTTCCGTAAACATGAAGAAATATACAGTATTAATTTAATGGTTTACATTTTTACTTGCTCTTTAGATGATTTAGATTGAATAATGGACCAGTACACCATTACATCTATATGTAATCAGACACACTAAATCTGAACTACTCAACGTGAGTAGAATTTGTGAGCGTTAAAATATCTTTAAACTTTAGAAATTGAATCTAAAAATGGAAGGGGAGGTACATTTGTAGATCATGGCTTTGCAAATGTTATGGACTAAATTTCCAGCAGTTACAGCTGACAGGAAAGGAGCATGCAAAGTGTAGTTTGGCAAAGCCAGGCATATTATTTATTTAACAATAGATAAGAGAGTGCCTAGCCTGCTGCCCATCAAATGTGTTTGACTGGTTTTCATTCTGCTGGAAATAACAATGAGTTTAATTCAGTGTTTTGCAACTTAAAAGTTAACAACTTTTAAGATGTGGACTTCAAATCTCAGCCAGCATGTTTTAAAAGTTGCCAAGTTTGGGAAACACTGGATAATGATTCTAACATAACTGGAAGGCAGTAAACTGAAAGCCATTTCTACTTTCTGTGGAGATGAACTAGGCTAGTGTATATGTTCCGTGATAGCCTGTCAATCCCATATTTTTTTGCTTTTACACAAATCAGATTTTTTTAAAAAAAGTAGAAAAAAACTGTAAGGATAATTTTTGGTTTTGTTAACTGGATTTGTGAAATCAAATATCCCAAAACAATATTCTCCTTTTGGAACAAGGATGGATTCCCCTCCAGGAATATTAAACGGTGAAAAAAGACGTAGCTACTTAAAGCGAACAGTGACTCTCACTTGCAATCTTCAGTTGCCCCGCAGATGGCGGCGCTGAAATGGAAGCTCTAGTGTCAAGAAGAGACTTCCCTGTGTCGCTCTTCGAGCAACGTTATGCGTCATTGCAAGTCCCGGGGCTTTACCATCTTGCGCGAACCCCGACGTAGTGACGTCAGCTCTGAGGCAGGCAGGAGGGGTGGGGCCCCGCTTGCTGCCTGTGTGGCTGGAGGGAGGGGCCAGGGCGGAGCCGAAGTAGTTTCGGTCCCGCCTACTTCTCCGGCGGTGTTGAATAGGGAATATTGGACGGAGGGAAGGAGCTTCGCCAGGTCTATCGGAGATCGCGGCTCCCGTTCCGGGATGGGGCTCCTGTTTGCCAAGCTGTGGAGCCTGTTCTGTACGCAGGGTGAGTGACTAGATCGAGCAGGAAAGCCTAGCAGCAGCTCTGCTCCCGCAAGGCGGTGGCAAGGGGAAGAATCCGGGGGGCAACATGGATCCGAGTGGGCAGACTGGGCTTTGGCCGTGGATATTGTAGCAAAGAAGGGAGTGGGTCCCGCGGGAAGGCCGATCCCAGTGGAAAGTAGATGGGGGGGGGGCTCTCCTGGAATGGGTTGCAGCCGAAGGCGAAGCTTAGAAGGCTAAGTAAAATCGGCTCTGGTGTGGACTGGGATGGGAGACCACATGCAAAGGAGAATCCCAGAACTATGGATCAGATGAGGACGTGGGAGAAAACTAATGACAAATCCCTTCTGTATTGTTGCTGAGATAGCGCTAGGAATACGTTCATGTTGCTGAGCTTGACTGAGGGACTTTCCCCTTTTTAATACCTGTATTTTATCCTGAAATGTCATAACTTATTCTGTCTTTTCTCCACCCACCTGTTCCTCCAACAATCCTAAGAGTGGCCAGGCAGGAAAAGATAGTTTCAAATCCATCAACAGCTAGCTAGTGCAGTATTCCTCATTTAGACATTAAACCAGAACACCATTTCTCACCTGGACTTCAATTCCCAGAATTCCCCAGCTAACATGCCTGCTGGCTAAAGAGTTCTAGGAGTGAAAGTTCACCAACTGATACTGAACTGAATTCCACACAACTTAAAGTTAAGATTGTGAAACACAGAACTAAAGTAGTTAAGTATTTGGGACATAGGTCATTGATGGTAAGGATAGATGATACGTTTAGGTGTTGAATCAAAGGGGAATAGAGAACTGGGCTGAAAAGAAAGTTTCTTCTATTGTGTCTCTTGGCCTTGACTCCTTAGGGAGAAATTTTACTATATTAAAATGTAAAAATATGAGAACTTTTGCAGTCATTCTTCCAGTATCATATACCTGAAATTAGTGTGGCCGATATTTAAGTATACAGTATGTACCAGTCTTTTTTTAAAAATCTCTAATGAATGCAAAAAATTGTTTTGCCAGATGGTTTTTAGAGACAAAATAAAGTTTATGAAATTTTAAAATTTTATAAAGCAAAGACCTAAATATTGTCTGCCAAATTATACATTGATAGTATGCTGTTACAATAGTTAATCATTTTAAGTGTTGGTAATGCAACATTATATTGAACTTGAAAATAAACTTTTAATCTCTTTAATTGAAATATACACAGAGAGAGAGAATGAGAATGAGAATGTAGTCATACAGCCATTCTGCTGCAGACCACAGTAGCATGATAAAAAAATTATAAATCTGTATTAATAACTTGTCATATATTTAGTAACTATAGCTATGTTCAATCATTTTAAAATCAAATTAGCATTATAACAATTTTCTTTCTTCTCTCATCTTCTTTGGGGTTATGCCCCTCAGTATCTAACAGAAAGGCCTAATTTGACCTTTGACTCAAAAAAGTTTTATATTCCTGGGGGAGATTGCCTGAACTGTGTGAAAAATCTTCAGCCTGTGTTGTTGGCTACAGATCTGAGAGAGTGGATAGAAACCACTTTCTCACACTCAGTTTTGTCCTCAGAAGACAGTATTCTTCAAAAGATTCAGTAGTGATTCTGGTATGAGAAGCCGCTCAAAGATATTAATCAAAAATAACATTGGTTGTGGTGACTTGTGTAATAGCTTCAAGTAGAAGATTGACCTGCACCTTAGTTAACATGGAGCAATGATATGATTTGCTTGTTTTCAACCTACCGTACATAAAATGTGAGTTCTTCTATCTTGATTTAGCATGGTGTGTTAGCAAGATTCAACTTTGGTGAACAATCCATGGTTAAAAATCTTGTTTTATGAGTGGATCCATAATTTCAGCTATTGAAAGAATTGAAATGAAAAAAGTGAGATAATAACAGATTGATTTTATGATGTTAGCTCATCTGTCTCCTAATATTTGTTGCATTAAGCTGATACAGTTTTGTATATACTGTAATTGAAAGACATCTCAATTTAATAATGACTCACAACCTTGATCTTGAGATGTTTCATGAGATGGAATTTCAAACTCCTGAACCCTTGCTCTGTGTTTATTTTTCTTAGTAGTAAATGGATTGGTTTTAAAATAATTTGTACAGCTAGTCCTCAACTTGTGATTACAATTGAATCAGAGTTTACATTGCTAAGCAAGGCAGTTGTGAAGTGAATAACACCCAATTTTATAACCTTTTTCACTACAGTTGTTAAGTGCATCAGTACTATTCTTAAGTGAATCATGCAGTGTTAAGCAAAAATTGGCTTCCCCCACTGACTTTGTTTGGCAGACTCATTTAGGAAGGTTGTAAATGGTGATCATGTGACTCTTGGATACTGTAACCATATATGCCAAAATATTTGCTAAGTGCCTGAATTTTAATCTTATGACGATTGGCATGTCATGACAGTCATGTTCAAAGAGCAGTCATAAGTCAGTTTTTTCAGGTTATTATATTTTTGAACATTCACTAAATGAATGGTTGTAAATAGAGGACTACACTAAATACATGGTTGTAAATAGAGGACTTTCCAATATAGCTGTTGCTATTTGTAAAACAAATATTAGGAGACTGTGGTTGTCTAACAAACACTCTGCTTTTTTGTATCTGCCCCCAGACTTTATTTTTTTTAAAGAAATAATGATACTTGGGGAAGTTTTTGGTAAGAATGGAAAAATGATATAGGAACAGAATCTCTTTTATGCTGGAAAACAGTTGTCTGACATCACTTTTAAAATCAAATTTCTAGTCACTTGAACTATTCTATAATGAAAACATCATAATATTGAGACATATAAATGAAATAAGATAGCTGTAGGACGTATTAAATTAAAAGGCAGATTACTTGTAAGTGTTATAATTTTTATAACTGCTTGTTTTTATGCATTGTAGAACACAAAGTGATAATTGTGGGACTTGATAATGCTGGCAAGACTACAATTCTGTACCAATTGTAAGTATTTCAGTATATACGTCTAGCAAGATTAATAAATTTCTGAAAACTAAACCTTCCAAAAACTGAGAAATATTTTAAATTTCTGAGTATCAAATATCTCAATCTGAGAGCTTGAATGTGTTTTTCAGTATGAGTATACATTTTAAACAATATTCAGTTTAGTTCTTCCAGTATATTAGGAATTTCCTTAATCCTTTCGTATCAGAACTTGATTGATAATCCAGTTTATTGCCATTGGTGAAAGAGTAATGTCCTATTACTGTTTTAGTTTATTTAGTTTACATATGATATAATACTGGCCTATATGATTTTCTTTGGAATATTTCTTTCCTATATTGCAATTGACTTTATGGCTTATTAGAATTCGTTGTTCTAAAGGACACTGGCATGTAATTGATATGCTGGATGTCAGCACAAAGATCAAGTATTGAAGTCTGTCCAGAAACAGAACATTCTGGAAGTGTTGTTGAATCATTTATGCTGAGAATAAGCGAGAGAGAGAATATCAAACAGAATTTCTTATTTTAGTCCTGCCTAAAAGGATACCTTACAATGTTAAATTTTCATATCTGGCACAATGTTAAGACTTCTAATGTAACTGAACTTAGACATCACCCTCACTGTGTAATGGAGAAAGTAGAACTGGATCTTGTAATCTTGTTGTTTGAACCTAAGGTCCTCCATTGACAGGACAATGTGATTTTGTATAGGAGTATGTGAGCTGATAACCCCTTCCGATTCTGATTGACTTTTGGTTGCAGATAACAGATCAGGTAATCATAAGTGATACTCAGCATATGGCCTAGATGTTCTGATTGATATAAACTAGGGCTCTGAAACATTTCATATTTGAATCCAATATTGCTATGGAGCATGTATGTAATAGTTGTCTGCAACTCTAAACTAGCCAGGATCACATGGCAGCTATTGAAAGTAGTTCAATGCCAAAAAAACTCATGATTGATTTAAAAAGCCATAGAGATGCTATATTTGCATTCATAAACCCCTTTTTCAATTTATTTCCAAATTATAGCACATCCCTTTTATAAACTTCTTTGAACAATGGTATACCAGAATTGGTGAGCAATATTTATTTATGGCAAAATGTTAAAAAGCACATCGCAAAGAGTGATGAGCAAAAGTGAGCAAAATATAAGGACATAATGAAAATCGCTGGGATTTTTTTTTTAAAGAAAACAAATGTGTGCTCACTCTCTACCTTTCTACAGAATTACTGTAGTGCTCACTCTCTACCTCTCTACAGAATTACTATATCAACATTAGTGGATCAAATTGGACTAACAAAATTAGTGGGCTAGAGGAATGCTGTGGATGTAATTTACTTGGACTTCAGTAAACCACAACCTATTACTTGATAAGATAGAAAAATGTGGGTTAGGCAGCATCACCACCAGATGGATTCGTAGCTGGCTGACCAGCCGTATTCAGCATGTGATCCTCAATGGAACTGCATCTATATGGAGGGAAGTGTGTAGTAGGGTGCCCCAGGGCTCTGTTCTGGGCCCAGTGCTCTTCAACATCTTCATCAATTATTTGGATGAGGGGATAGAAGGGGAACTCATCAAATCTGCAGACAACACCAAGCTGGCAGGAATAGCCAACACTCCAGAAGATAGACTTAAGATATAGAAGGATCTTGACAGACTTGAACATTGGGCACTATCTAACAAAATGAAATTCAATGGTGAAAAAAGTAAGGTTCTACATTTAGGCAAGAAAAACCAAATGCACAGGTACAGTATAGGTGGTACCTTGCTCAATAGTAGTAACTGTGAGAGGGATCTTGGAGTTCTAGTGGACAATCATTTAAATAGTGTGCTGCAGCTGCCAAAAAGCCAACACAGTGCTAGACTGCATTAACAGAGGGATAGAATCAAGATCACGTGAAGTGTTAATATCACTTTACAATGCCTTGGTAAGGCCACACTTGGAATACCACATCCAGTTTTGATCACCACAATGTAAAAAAGATGTTGAGACTATAGAAAGAGTACAGAGAAGAAAAACAAAGATGATCAGAGGACTGGAGGCTAAACCATATAAAGAACTGTTGCTGGAATTGGTTATGTCTAGTTTAATGAAGAGAAGGACTAGGGGTGACATGATAGCAGTATTCCAATATCTCAGAGGTTGCCACAAAGAAGAGGGAGTCAAGCTATTCTCCAAAGCACCTGAAGGCATGACAAGAAGCAATGGATGGAAACTAATCAAAGAAAGAAGCAACCTTAGAACTAAGGAGAGATTTCCTGACAGAACAATTAATCAGTGGAACAACCTGCCTTTAGAAGTTATGAATGCTCCAACACTGGAAATTTTTAAGAAGAGACTGGACAACTTTTTGTCTGAAATGGCATAGAGTTTCCTGCCTGAGCAGGGGGTTGGACTAGAAGACCTCCAAGGTCTCTTCCAAGGTCTCTTCTATTATTGTTGTTGTTATCGTTATTGTTAACATTGTGGGCAGTCTCCTGGTAGCTGCATTTCAGATCTCTTTAAACAGATCATCTTTTCTCTTTCTTTTTAGCTTAATGAATGAGGTGGTTCACACATCTCCTACCATAGGCAGTAATGTTGAAGAAATTGTAGTGAAAAACACACATTTTCTTATGTGGGATATTGGTGGACAAGAGTCATTAAGATCATCCTGGAATACGTATTATTCAAATACAGAGGTAAGTGACTGTTTTATTATGATTTTTGCCCCTTTATGGTATCAGAGCTCTTTTGGTGCACTGTTTCATAGCCAATAGCTGTTGGGCATGTTGAACTTCAGGTTTGTGACCATGGTCTAGGGCAGTGTTCTCCAACCTTTCCAGGTTAGTGGCCTGGCGCAGGGGGAAGAGGAGGCAGTTTTTTGTGAGGGGCAAGCGACGGACACGCACACAGCTTCATTTATAAATGGGGCTGCAAGCATTGGAGTGAGGCTGGCATCTGCACCTGTCCACCACTCACATGGTCCGGTTGCAAATAGGCCATTGCCTATAGTGGCCCCCAGCCCACAGATTGGGGACCCTTGGTCTAGGGAACAGATTTCGTGACATTGGTGACATCTTCAGAGGCAAGGTGATCACAGACAAGTAAACAAGGAATAACTGGGTTCCTGTCTTTATAGCCAGGTGTCCTGACTTCTGAATGGCCCTTAGCTAAGCTGGTTTGCAACAGGTACAGGTTAATGATGGCTAGTCTCTGATTGGTTCTTTGTGTATGCCCAATGCTGATTGTTCATGTTGATGGTATTGGGGATTTGTGTGAAAAAAAATACTGCATCTCACTTTGAGAATGGTTTGTATTAAGAAAAGTGGGAGGGCATTATTATAAATACATCAGCTGGTACCAAGGTTCCATTCTGCCCAATGATTTAACAAGTGCTTGAGATGAGTTTTAAAGCAGGATATTCCTGGAAAGACAATAATAAAAAAAGGCTTTGCTTGGAGTCTCTTTGTTTTTAAGGCTTCCAAGAACTTGCCATGAGAAGTACCACATGGTATTGATCTCTGAAAAGCCTGAAGAAGAAAACAAAAAGTTATTTCTAGAGAGTTTCAGTGCTAAATCCTTTGATTGTCCCTGCTCCTGTTATTTTGTACCATAAGATTTTCTCGCCATTTGCTCTCAGAGAGGAGCAGGAACTTAAGAAAGAGTAGAAAAAGAGCTATGGTGCTCTTGTTTGTGCAACAGACTTATGCAGTTGCACATACATAAAAAGTTTTGTCTTCTGGGATACTGCCTGTTTTACAACATATTTCTTCAGTTCTTTCTTCAACTCTTCCTTTTTCCACAGTTTATAATCCTTGTAGTGGACAGCATTGATCGTGAGAGGTTGTCTGTCACAAAAGAAGAACTCTACCGAATGTTGGCCCATGAGGTATTTCATTTAGTCTTGCTTTATTCCTTATAAATTTCCAGGATTTATATCAAGGAGTAAATAAAAATCTCCAAAAGAGGATTGTTGTTGAGAAAATTCTATGGATGTATTTGAAATCAGCATTATCCTAGTTTAGATCAAGGGAGCTTTGACCTTTATTCCTGGAATGTCAACTTCAGTTTGGATCTTAAGTGCTGTAAACTAGTGCAGAACAAGAGTTCCAGTTTTTTATCCCAGTTATTTCGGAAAGTTTGACAAATCTCTGAAACAGCCTTCTGGGAAGAAGAAAGTATTTCAGTGGCAAAAATTATAAGGTCCAGCAGTGGAGAAGTACTTTCCACTGATGGGGAGACAAACTTTGTAAATGGCTAAAATTTCATATTTTAAGGTGTTGACTTTTTGTTGTTTGTTAAACTTACATGTCATTGTGCAGTACTGCCTAAAAAAGAGTGTCCCTTTCTGGCACGGGGGAAATGCATCACTACCTTGTGTTAAAGCAATTGTCAAAATTAAAGTTATAGTAGCATATATTTTTATATAGGATATATATGTGTAGAAAGTAGCATCATAGTTATCCAAGTCATCTAAATATTGCAATTTACAGGATTTACAAAAAGCTGCCGTACTCATTTTTGCAAATAAGCAAGATATGAAGGGTTGTATGACTGCAGCTGAAATTTCCAAGTATCTAACCCTTAGTTCCATAAAGGATCACCCATGGCATATTCAGTCCTGCTGTGCATTAACAGGAGAAGGGTAAGTATTGTAATAAAATATTTTACTTTGGAGATAATTACAATTTCTATATTTCTTATTCAAGTTATGTAAATATTTCTAAATACATTATTAATACTAGCTTCTCAATTAAGGAAATTGTTAATAGAAAAGAGGGGGTATGATTACAATGCCATTAGTTTCTTACAACTTAAACTAAATAAGAAAACATGAACATATTTCTGAATATTTCACTGAGTAATTTTCAAAAAGCTTTAAAATCACTCAGCAGTTTGATTTATTAACTCTTTCCTGCTTAATCAGATATTTAAATCAAATACGTTTGGGTCTGGGGCAGAATGGAAATGTGTGTAATATAGTGCAGGATAATTCTAAATTTGGGGTCACTGGATAGAAGGCAGGTATATTAAAATGAGCTGTAATAGACTTAGCTATTGTTCACTATCTTTAAACAGTTCCACAAGTTCAAGATTTTTCTGTTCAGGAGTATTTGTTAATTGAAGAAATCTAGATTAGGGAACTTTGATGTAGTGTCCAGATAGACCTCTGCTTTTTTCTTTAACTAAAATCATTATGTTATTGTGTCTGGGCTTGGCCTGGAGCAGACTGGGGTGACAAAATACTAAAGTGGTACAAAAGTTAATTCCTTCCTTCCTTCCTTCCCTCCCTCCCTCCCTCCCTCCAGTTAATTCCCAAGGCAGTAATAGCGAAGGCTATGGAAAGATCTAGATTCAAGGCAAACATCAGAAGAAACCTTTTTAGTTGCATTTTGTTTAGGTTCCTGACATCTTGCCTTTAAATAATGATCTCTTAATTGAGACTACTAGTGCCACAATGATTAACAAACAAATATTTGTTAAGACTTGAGTTTTATTCTTTTCTCCCAGATTGTGCCAAGGGCTGGAATGGATGACTTCCCAAACTGGAGTAAGATAATTCCTCTGGATTGGAAATGTGAATTATCCCATGGACTACCCTTTTTTGCTTGTCTGCTTAGTGTAGCAACAGGTTTAATTTAAAAACGAAAAAAAAAAACCACGTTTGAGACCTCCACAACAAGCAACACTTGAATCAAGTGCAGCTAGTCAAAACTCAGAGTATTTTTTAAACTTTTTAAAAATGCACTAGTCTTGGATGGATAAAACTGTTCTCCTACAACATAAGCTAAAGAACTATGCCTTGTATAACCAAATTCGCAGTTGAAAAGGTTCCTTCTTGCAGCTTAATATCCTGTAGCAGTTTGGTTCCCTTTTTGTTTTATGCTACAACATTAAGCTTTAAGACTTCCAGGATTATGGATTTTTAAAGTCAGTGGATTTCCAGGGAATGGGAATTCCAGTGTCAGTACACAATATTGGAATTCTCCAACACTGAAAGGATTATTTATTTGCTATCAATGCTGTTGCCTTTTACCATTATATTTCTGCCTGAGAAAGTATACACTTTTTTCTTAAAATGTATGCTATAAATATTTTATATATTGAGGATTTTGATAAAATGATTATAGAAAAAAAAACTTCATGTTATGCAGGAGGGCTAATTGTACTGCACTGTGTTCTAGCAATGCATATTTAACAGAGAAAACTATTCCAGTATAAATAGAGATGTGTTTATCAAATGATAGTACATGTCATCTCAAACTCTTTGGGATTCTGGGCTATGAGTCAATGGGACCGTTTAATTGGATTCAAATTATTGATTAATGGAATTAAATTATTTGAATGGTGTAAATAATGTATGAAATAATAAGTTTGAAAAAGTAACTGCTAATTATTCATTGAAGAAAATTAGAAAGTATGCTTGAAATTAATTCTGTTCTGTGCAAATTGGCCATGACTTTTTCTTATAGAAAGCTGGATTATTAATGTGATTTTCTTCCAGAATTAGAACTCCTACTACATATCAGTGTCTTATTTTGTATAGACTATGTGAATGGCTTGTGTTTTCATGGACAGTTATTGTAAATGTCCCACTAACAGTATTATGTAGTACTTTTAAATCTCAAAGGTGTCTGTTTCTTATGAAGAGGAATTTTTTGACATGTAGTAATGCTGGTGCTGTCATGTGACATTGAAGCTGATTGTGGACCCTCCTTGATCTCCTTGCCATGGTCACAGAGGCAGTTTATGGTTTAAAAAGTTGAAATCTATAATACATCTAGAAATGGCTAGGTTGGGGAAGGCCAGTGTACTTAAGTATACAGTATAAGCCCCACTAATGTCAGGAAGTGATGCAAATTATGACATTTCTGCCAGTTGCATCATGATACTTGTGATTATGCTTCTCATTATTTGCAGACACTGATTTTGATGTATCTAAAAACTTCAAAGGTAAACTTTTCAATTCAGCATATTTTGTACATGAAAGCCTGAATAGAGAACTCATTTTGACTTAATGCAAAAGGAATGTGTGTTATAGTTTAAAGAAGACTGTATCTTCATGAGGAAACAATATTTTAGAACAGAGGTCCCCAACCTTTTGGGCACCAGGGACCAGTTCTGTGGAGAGAGTTTTTTCCGTGGACCGGAGAGTGCTTGGGTTTGTGTGCTGCCTGCATCCCATGCAAGGGGCTTTCCTTGTTTATGCAGACCGGTTGCTGGCATGCCGTGGCCCAGTACCAGTCCACGGACCGGGGGTTGGGGACTCCTGTTTTAGAAGGCACAGTATTTCTTGAAGCCTCATTTTGTAGCAGAAGAAAATGAGAAGCAAATGTTTGAGACATAGAAATCAACGCTTGTGATTTTATAGATATATCCAGGTAGTTTTCTTGGTTACTAGTGAAATGGTGTGCCATTGCCTTCCTTGTAATCTGAACCAATTTAGTTTTCTAAGATCAGCCAAGTGAACAGTTAATTCTACTATTTCTTCTGGAGGGCATTTTTCCATTCCATTAAATTTTCTAAGAGCATTTTAAAAAGGGATATCAAAGTGGGTCATTTAGCTTTAAAACTCACTTTTGGAAAAGGCTACTTATTCATTTCAAATATTAACTGAAATTACATTTACCAGCCACTGTGATAGTTAGGAAGCAAATAAGCAAGCAAGAAAACTAGGATTATTTATTATTATTTATTATAATTTATTATAGATTTGTCCCAATAGCATGTATGAGGTAAACTCAGCATACATATACATGTGCATACAGTAACATGCACATGCGTATTCATTTAATAACCAAGTTACCTTTCATTAAAATAAGAATTGTTGCTTCTCCATAATTTTGCTTTGCTTATTCCTGGCATTTATCCCATTACACATTTCTCTGGAGAAAACATCTTTAAGTCTAATTTCAAATGAACTCTTAATTGAAATTTAGTTATATCTCTATCCCCTTAATTCTGTTTATCCTTTTGATGTTGTCAACTACAAATTGCTCTACTGTACCTTTTGATAACCCAAATTCCATAACTTGAAGGTACAAATAGTGTTTGAATAGGAACAATAATAATCTACAGAGTAACAATTGATGGATGATTTGTTACTTGGGGCCAATACTGTTTTTGAATTGCTGGATAGATGTCTGTCTCATCATCTATTAATTGTTTACAAACTAGAGATGTCTTAAGAGTTGGGATGTTTTGGGAACATCTGTTCCACTATCTCACTGTGATTCTCTTGTGTCCAAGATGAGTCCAAGAGAGTTTTAACAATTTCTGATCCATGGTTCTTCTAATTCTTTGCCTTGCTTGTGTCCTATGTGAAGATATATGATCATTTGAAAGGAAGGTTTAAGTGAGATAATATATCATAACAGATCATTTTCATTCTTTCTTTGAGTCTATTTATGATCCTCAGAGTAACTGGAAAGATACCATTTTTTCATAGAAGAAAACAGTATGTTTTTAAATCTCGGCTCCTTTATGGTGTGGAATTTCAAAAAGCTGGCCCATTTTGGTATTATCATTTCATATGGTCAAAAGGTTTTATCACTTTTATATTAAATGGTGAGCATGACATTGGGCTGTAATTATGTTGAGGTGAATTAAATTGCGTGGTTATGTAAAACCCTTTGTGCTGCTGTAAAAACTGCTGGCAACGCAATATTGTGGTGGGGCAAGAATGAAAGAGAGGCTGATTGGCCAATAAAACACCACTGTCAAGAATGAAACTTTGGCAGCTATGTGCCTCTTCATTTCCGCTTGCCATTAGAGTAAGTGAGGAGGTGTTGCTTTAGAATGGGTTAAATGGAGAAACGAACCCTCTATGATTCTGCTGAAGACCCTAGAGCCTGAAACCTTTCCAAGGACACTGCAGCAGGTGTGGAGAGGAACCATCTGCTTCTTCTCCACACCTGCTGCAGTGTCCTTGGAAAGGTTTCAGGCTCTCACGGACTTCAGCAGAATCATAGAATCCATCTAACCCATTCTAAAGCAACACCTTCCCCCTTACTTTAATGGCAAATTGAAATGAAGAGGGACGTAGCTGTCAAAGTTTCATTCTTGACAACCACTCTTACTGTGTTTGCACCCACCTTTTGCATGCAAGTACGGTTGGTTCTCTGAATCGTGACCATGGATTTTATTTCTTAAATTTGGATATATTACATTTTGTATTTCTGTAATGAGCAATTGGTTCAGTTCCAAAACTCATTGAACTTGTACTGAAATAAACAATGAAAATACATATTTAGGTGCTACGGATTATTTTGTTGGTCTTACTTATTAAAGCTGTCTTTCCTTTAACAAACGAGCATCCAGAGAATTTATGTCAGCACTGAGGACTCATACCACCCTCTTCACCCTCCACAATCACGTGGCAAAAATAATTCTGCACATCACCAACATTAGTTTAGTAATTTGCTAAAGGAGGTCTACTTAGTACTTTTGAAATGTTATCCCTTATGTTATATTTCCGGTAGCAGTTGGGTTTTTGTGGTTAGCTCTTAATTCCTGTGCTAGCAAGAAAGACTTCCTATTTTGTAAATACCAAATTATAGAAGTGTTTCTTGTCTTAGCAGATTAGAAGGGGAAAAAAGTATTGTGGCAACTTTTTTTTTACAATCACGCACACAAATTAATAAACTAGAAAAAAGAAAGTGTAATAAATCTGAATGAGTACTATGTAGCCTTTTGAATTTACACTGATTATATGCTTCAGGTAAGTTTGTCATTTTCAAGACTAAGTTAAGGAAGTATACAAAATTTCTGTGGAAGGGAGTTTATCTGAACATGCATACAAATTTATCTTGTTCCTACTAATTTCATAGAAAAATGAAATACTTAAGCACACCGCTGACATTAAAAATTGTCAAAAAGTCAAATGAACTTGTTAAGTAATCCTCAGGTTTTAATGTGTTGCCTGATAGAGGTAAGATGAATTTCTAGCCTTATTTAGGAAGACGAGAAGACTTAACTATGGAAGGGATCAGTTTACTCAGGCGGGAATTAAGTCATATACCTTTTTTTCCTAATGAAAAGGAAATACATAATGTTTTAATTTGTACTTAATGAAGATTGTGAAACTTTTGTTTCTAGAAGGATATTCTGAATGCCATATCTCCCTATAGCACTGATCGGCAACCTGTGGCTCCGGAGCCGCATGTGGCTCTTTGAGCCTTCTCCTGTGACTCCCAGCCTCTGCCATTTGCAGAGACAGAGAGAGGCACTTGCGCTTCCCTGCTTCCATTCTCTCTGTCTCTGTCTCTGTCTCTGTCTCTGTCTCTCTCTGTCTCTCTCTGTCTCTCTCTCTCTCTCTCTCTCTCTCTCTCTCTCTCTCTCTCTCTCTCTCTCTCTCTCTCTGTGTGTGTGTGTGTGTGTATAAAAAAGAGTTGCCTCACTCTATTTTCTGACAAGCTGACAAGCTTATTGGGCAGGGCTCCTCCCTTTGCTGCATCTGCAGGAAGCAGGAAGGGCAAGAGAGAGCCAGCCCAATAATGTGTGTCAGCTTGATGGAGAAGAGCCTGAAGCCAGCTTGCCAGGTGAGCAGAAGAACGGAGAGAGGGGGGGAGAGAGAAAGAAAGAGATAGAGAGGAAAGAGAGAGAGAGAGAGAAAAGGGGAGAGAGAGAGAA